ACACGTTACATTCTTTTTTGTTTTCCAACAGAGAAGCCTATAAGAGACTCTTATCTCACCTCGCAGAGGCTGGACAATGTGAGATAGAAAAACTGGAAAATGAGACAAATTAGCAGTGTGTTGGCAATTAATCCTTTCCTCCTGAATCTCCTCTCACTGTTGATATCTGAAACAGCACTTCACAACACACTGCCCAGGTCGTTTATCTTTACAGCTGCAATGCCTCTGTTGGTTTTTTTTTGGTTGGTTTTTTTTTTTTTTTTTTAGGTTATACATTGATTATAGTAATTTCTGTGGTATTTGAATAATGGCATGTGTATGAACTCATGTAACTCAATTTATTGTTGAATGATGGCTGAAAGATGTGGCAAATTTCAATTCAGTTTTCAATTCATTTCAATTCATACAGTCCTCTTAGCAGTTCTTCTGACCCCCTTCCCAGTCAGTATGAACATTACAACTCCTTAGCTTCTAATTTAAAGTATTGGTAGAGCGAGGGTGATCTCTGGTGCTGCACCTGCTGGACACGGTGCGTTCGCCAGGAGCTGGAACTGTGTCCTGAAGCTGGAATGGTGCCCTGGAGCTGTCCTGCGCCAAGGGAAGGCTGAGTGTACAGCGGACAGAATTCACGCAGCTCCCTCCTGTACAGAAACATTAAAGTCCTTCAGATTTCAATGTAAAATCGCTTGTTTTCCTTCCGAGTCATATAAGAAAAGGTAAGTTCAGATCTCTCTTCAACACTATAAGAATTAACTCAGAATTTACAGTGATACTGTGACAGTTTTCTAAATATTCATGACACACTGACAAGTGTTCTTTTGACTTGGACTATGTGCAAGTAGAGGGAGTAAAAAGAAGACAGGGCATAAGGACTTTTTTATGCTAACTTTGGAAATTAGTTTTATTACATTGTAGGCTACTTATTTCTATTTGACTAGAAAGCTGAATTTTTCTAATATTTTGCTGTACTGTGGATTATTTTTTTGGGTCTGACCTGTCTTCCAAGACAGGTCTAGCACTGCAACTTTGTCTTTGCTCACTTCTTCCCCCACTAACCTGAATTTCTGCAGCTCCTACTGGACTGTGGGCATCGTAAGTTTGCTCCTAATGGCAGCACCGGGGAACAGGATGCCCACTTTCATCATTATTCAGATTTTAACTTTAATGGGAAGGAAAGATTATTTTTGTGTCTAACAACTGCACGAAAAAAATCCCTAAAATCCTGTTCAGAGCAGCTTCTGTTTCGTCACAGTAATCTTACCAAGTCGAAATAGATAATCTTGCTCCCTAAATCAGCTGTCGCTACTTCACATAATGCAGTAACTAAAAGCCTCTTTAGGCTACTTAATAGTGCAGAATATGGAGGTCCTTTTCATCATGGAAGTGACTTATTGAACTTGCATTGTAGCTTCTTTTAAGTGTCTGTACCTGGGAGGAGTTCTACTCGTCTCAGGGGGATTGTGCATCTAAAAAGCTTTTTAATATATTTATATATTTACTTATATAAATATATATATATATTATATATATAAAATAAAAAAAATCCTCTAAGTTTAGTACTGCCTGAAGTGGTTGGAATTTTTGGAAAAGGCAACGGAGCTTTATGCAAATGTGAGACAATACTTGGTGCATGAGAAACTAATTTAAACAGGTTGGAAATTATCATTCTTCTATGTCAAAAAGTTAATGCGCACAGAAGTGCAGCACTTTGCATTGTATTCATCAGCCACTGCCAACTGGGCAATCTGCTTTGGTCTAATTATTTGGTGTGGCCGTGTGCAGATGTGACTGACAGTGCTGGGAACGTTAATGAGGTGGAGGCTCCGGCGTGACTTACCGAGTAAATCCCAATACACCCCTCCAAACTTGGGAGGGAAAAAAGAAACTGCTGAATTTAAGTCTCATATAGGAAAAGCAAGGATTGAAAACCACCGTAATCTAAAACAACTACATATTTTGCCCTATTATATGCTGTCCACATGAGACCTCCCTAGGCCGCAGAACATTGCTTGGATCCTGCACTATCCGCACGCGAGCGGGCGCGTTCCCGGCCCCGCGTTCCCGACCCCGCGGCTGCCGCAGGGAGCTCTGCCGGCAGCCCCGGGCAGGGCAATCCGGCCGGGAGCAGAGCACGAATCCCCTGCCCGTCGCACAGAGGTGCTTCGGGGCTATGCAGTCAAAGCTGTCTCTTTGCTTCATACAGATTTCCCATTTTAAAATTGTTATTAAAGAGCAGGAACAAGAAAATTGAAATTGCTCCTTGCTTCCATTTTCAGTCGCAAAAAAGCAGTGGTGGGGAAGGCATTCGTTTCAATGAATGCTTCTGAAATTAAAAAAATCCTTCCTTTCTTGCTGGACGAGAACACCAGACCTATGCAAAAATGAGGTTCTGCAGCTCTGCTGTGACTGTGCAGAGCAGGGGCTGCCAACAGGGTGCTATTTAAATAGACATTTAAGGAACTTCTGTGACTGTCCACTTAGAAGTGACATATTTCCCTGAGGATACAGAAAAAGGCTTTATTGCACGCTGTTTTTTTCTTTTGGTAGCTTTTAAAATTATGCATGGGTATTTTCAGTTTAATCATATTTTATAATTTTTAACTATTACTTAAAGCTCACATTCAGTGTAATCAGCCCATCTGTTAGCAATACTTACAAAATTATGTTGAAGATTAAAAATCTGATGCAGTGTCAATATGTCCTAGCATAATTAAGCTTGTTTTATAACGAATGACTAAGAAATGGCTTTTGTCTGTTTGAGCTGCTTCCCTAGTAAAGCTTTATAGGCTTAGTGCACAAAATATATCCAGGTGTGTAGGTAGGGAAAACAGCCAAGGCCCCTCACATCCTGTATCAAAGGTCTGGTGTCTCTGCAACCCTTGGGAGACACCAGCTGGGTTGTGGCATGGAATTATGTTCACTGCATTTTTAAATCCCTCAGACGCTATCTCAGCTAGACTGCCCTACCTGTAGAATGTCACCCAAATAAGCATTAAAAATTCAAATTTGCTAAATGTACTTACTAATTTTAGAAAGGGCCACCATAACCTGCTTTGCAGTGATGCAAAACTGAGCACAACTTTCATGTTTATGCAGCCAGAGCGACTGAAACTATTTCGTTCTTTAGTCCTTTAAGTATGGTAACATAATCTAACTGCGCAGAGTAACATCTAAAAAAAATTAATTCTGGCATTACTGTGGAACAGCCCTATACTCATCATCTCTATTGAAAAAAAAAAATCTTGATAGAGACATAATTTTTTTTTTACCTTTAAAATGTGGTCTTGGGGCGGGGGGGAAAAGAAAAAAGGTTTTGTTTGGCAAAATCAAGCTGTGCAAGCCCTTTAAGCAATCTGCTTGCTCAACTTTGTGCAAAGTTTTCCTCTCCTCCAAACTGCAGCTGAAGGGCTTTCACCTTGCCCTCTTAATTTATTCTGCAGCCTAATTTTCAATAAACAGATGCCGCCTCTTCTCGCGCTTGTTTCCACATTGTTCCACAGGCTGCCTGGGTTGTTTCTGCATGTGTGACTATTCAATTATCTCGTGCTCCAGCATCCTGCAACTCCTGCCCTTGAACGTCTGCACGGCTTTGGGGGAGGGAAAACCTAAAGGAGAAAGAGTTACAGCACTGGGAGTCGGGGCTCTCCTCCCTGTATCCCTAAACAAACCCTTAGGCCTTATCCGCTGTGGAGACCCTGCGCAGGGTGACGTCCAAAGCGCGGCCGTGGGGCGAGCGGTGGCTCCCGCCGCGGCGCCTCCTGCCCTGCCTGGCCGCCGG